CATTTTTTCTGCAAGTCTTTCTTTCAATAAGAATATTCTGTTCTCCCAGCAGTTTCAGGTTGGTCTGCATGTCTTTTTAAGTGGAAATTTCCCGAGTCAGAAGGTTTTAGGTGGGGCTAAGGATTCCACCTAAGACCCCATCTACAAAAGGCCTAATAAAAAATCTGCTTCCATGGGTAAATTCTAACCTCACTCTTAGAATGTTCTACATTTTTACCCATTTTAACTGAGATGTTCTGTCGTGCTCTTGGTCAGTGTGGACAGTAGTGGTAGCTGGGCACCGTCTAGTTTTTCTGATCTCAGTTAGAAACGTTGTGTTTATGGGAGCCATTAGTCCTTTGGACTGTTTGCTTCTTTGTGTCTTCTGTTATCTTGATTCCCCTTTGTTTGGGCAGGAAAAGAAGCTCTGATAGCATAGTACATTAATATCTTGGCTGATAACAGCAAAGTCAGAAATTCCACTCTACCAGTCTCTCCACAGGAGGAAGATGAGGCTTTATGCTCCCATAAAGGTGAATAGCCTTGGAAACCCTGTTTAGGATCGCTATGAGTAGGAACCACCACCACCTGTCCTTTGGACTAATTGCTTCTTTGAGTCTTTGGTTATTTGCATTCCCATTTGCTCCAGGCAGAAAAAGACCAATAGTTGTTTCTTAGATGGCTGCTCCTAAGCTTTCAAGACCCCAGAAACTAGATTATAAATTTCTTGAAGGCAGTAGAAACTTTTATAATCTCCTTGAATCTCCAGGGCTTAACATAGTTCCTTGAATATGGCTAGATGACTTGATATACTCCTTTAACAAATAGAAATTTATTGTCTCACAATTAACGAGACCAGAAGTCCAAATAAAGATGCTATCTCTAGGGGAAGGGTTTCTCTTTCTGTCAACACTAGCGGAAGGTCCTTGTTTCCTTTCAGCATCTGTAACCTCAGCATTCCTTAGAGATCTGTATGTGTCTTGGTTCATCTTTCCCTGGGTCTAGGAGTTTCACAGTACAGAGACTCCAGGTCCAAAGGATGCTGTCCACTACTGGCTCTTCTTTCTTGGTGGTAGTGGATCCTTCCAGATAATTTTGTAAGAATCAGAGTATGACACTGCAGGATAATCACTGGACTGCTAACTGCAAGGTCAGCAGTTTAAACCTACCAGTCATTCTTTGGAAAACCCTTTACAGGTTCTCTTGTGAGTTAGCACTGACTCCACAGCAAGAGCATTCTCAGCCCCAGTGTCCTCTTTATAGAGCTGTAATTCTAACATAAATTATGCTGATTTTAATTATGTTTCACCGCAGCCTAGATAAACATTTCTTGTTGACATTTTCTGAGGTGCAGCTTCATTCTCACTTGATATGCCTTATAGCTATTGTAGTTAAGAGAGTCCTGACTCTGGCAGCTTCACTAGGAGAACATAATGAAGAAGAGGACTTGGGACAAATTCACTGCACAAGGTGTGTTTCTACAGAATTGTCAAACTTGTGTGTTACAGATCAGGGAACAGAGAAGCATGAAGGGACGGGCCAGTCCTCTGGGCTCACTGATCAGGAGAAGGAGTTGTCGAGCAGCGCATTTCAAGCTTTCACAGTGAGTAAATGGTTCTCTTATCTGCTCAGCTTTCCCAAGGCTGTGAAATACGAACTTTTTCATAGTGAACTTTTAGATGTATAATTTTTGCTCTATAATTAAACTCAAGACTTGAGTTTAGAGAGAAGTAGGTTTAGCTTTAAAATAAAAGCTTTTTTTCAGAGTTTGTTTCAATTAAAGATGGTGAAAGGAGTAGGAATAATTTGAGCCATTTCTGTTTTTTTGTGTTTTCATGGACATGTTTTAACTCTCATTTCATTTTTGGTGAGTTTTTTCCAAGTTGTTTTGAATTTAGATTTGTAAACATTATGGATCAGCCTTCATTTCACTATCCTGTTCAATTTATTCCCCCCTGAGTAGCTCTGGTAGCGTCGTGGTTACAAATGGGATTTCTAACCTCAAGGTCAGCAGTTCGAAACTACCAGCCGTTCCTCGGGTGAAAGATGAGGCTTTTTGCTCCCGTAAAGATTTACAGCCTCAGAAACCCTGTGCTGGGTCCCTATGAGTCGGAACTAACTCCACGGTACTTAACAACAACAACAACATACTTTAAAATAGAATTACGATAATTTATAGTTAAAAACTTTTTTTCTAACTTGAAAGGATTTAGAAGAAAACCTTATTTGACTGTATGCTTACATACATGTAGACAGAAGCTTGTTGGATATTCAGAGTACATTTAATAAAAATTTAAAATGGGAGTAATATTATTGTCTTCTTTGTTCAAGACTCAGCTATTATACTTCACTAGATATACATATCAGTGTCAAGAGTTTGATTCTTAGGAAATAAATATCCACAATTTCTTAGTTGCTCTAAATATTGCTTCATACAGTAACTTCAAAGAGCTCTGGTAGTGTAGTGGCAGTTCGAAACTACCAGCTGTTCCACGGGAGAAAGATGAGGCTTTCTGCTCCTATAGAGATTTATAGCCTTGGAAACCCTATACAGGGTTGCTGTGAGTCAGAACCTACTCCACGACGCACCAACACCACCACCATGGTGACTTAAGTTAATCGAGGGAAATTGTGTGATTTTTTTTAAAGTTTTTAGAATAAAGATAGATAAAATATATTTGGAAATAAATGGCTTATTCTTAAAGCTGACCTGTAATTTAGTTTGTGTGTTTTATTGTCTTTTAGGCTGGAAATTATGATACCTGTCTACAGCACCTTGCCTGCCTACAAGATATAAATAAAGATGATTATAAAATAATTTTGAATACAGCAGTAGCTGAATTTTTTAAAAGTAACCAAACAACAACAGATAATTTGAGACAAATACTGAGCCAACTGAAAAATCAGGTGATATACAATGAATTTTGCTGTAAAAATATGATGTTCTTTAATTTGTGAAATAAATCTAGTTAAGGAAAGTAAATGTGATTTCTTACCTGATATTGATTGATAGCATAATTTGCAATATCTGAAACTTTTATTGGTATTAATTTTATTTGTAAAAAAGTTCTTCCAGAAAATGAAAACTTATGTATTGTGTTGTGATTTTATTTTCTATCAAGTTTTTTATTTGAACAGAATATATTAATATGCAAAATGTGAATGAAAAAATTAAAGTAGAAATAAATACCTGCTGAGATATATCTTATCTGTAACTGCAAAGATCTGATTACTAATAATATCAAGTTGCTATAACATCTTAAGTCAAGAGATAATTAAATAGAAGATATTCTGGTTTATATATGATTTGAAACTTACATTAGTCAATGTTCTGCTCATAACAGCAACGTTTCTCCCATACCAGGACTAGACTTCTTTGTCCTAGAAGTCTGATGATGATAGGATTAGCTAGTAGTCCTTTAGGGCTTACTATGTGAAAAGATGTTTTGCTAATCATATTGTAGACAACATCGCACTTATTCTTCCAGCGGTCTTATGGAGTAGTTACTATGATTCTTTTTATTTTATAGGTGAGAAAGCTGAGGCACAGGGGACTTGTATAAATTATTCAAAGACTGAGAACTTTTAAGTAGTAAGAGCTACGGAAGCATAGAGCTGTTTTATTCTAGGTCCTGCACTTTTAATTACTGCTTCCTAATATAAAGCATCTTGAGACTTTTTTGAGCCTCTGCCCTGTAGTCACGAGTATCACTGTAGGGTCATCCCAAAACTTTGTATAATTGAGAAATTAGTGACCCTGTAGACTTTTCTTAATTCTTTGTAGGAGTCAAGTAATTTTAAAACTCTCTTAAAATTCTTAATGAAAATGACAATAGTAGCCAACATTGATTGACTTTTTATTTGATACACACAGGTATCATTTAAGTGTTTTAGGCCTCTGAGTGCCTTATCTTATGTAATCCTCAGAGTAAGGACTACTGTTATCTCAGTTTTAAAACTGGGCCTAAGGAAGCCTTAATTTATTCAGCTTGTGAGGTGAGGAGCAGAATTTGACCCGGGCTTTCTGTCTTGTGAACCTGTGTGTGTATCCACTGTGGTCTTTGTAAATTTACACATCATGACATTTCATCATTGTTCTGACATTATTGCCTATGACTTTATCTGGAGCTCCAGAATCAAAAGAAAGATGTTTGCTGATGTCTGAGAATGAGGGGGCTTTTAAAAGTTTGTGGTGTTGTTAAATGCTGTGGAGTTGTTTTCAACTCATTGCAACCACATATAGGGTTGCTGAGGAGTCGCTGGTAGCTTTAAATCACCAACCTTGCAAATAGCAGTCCAGTGCTTATTATATTATAATAACACCTCACCAGGTCTCTAAAAAGTTCATGAAAAAATAGAATTGAAAGATAATTGGAAATTTTCCACAAACTTTTAGAAGCTCCTGTATGTGCTCTACAACCCAATAGCCATTTTCTGCCAAGACAGATTGGTTTAGTCTTTGAGCACAACTTAAGCCATAGAACTTTTGTTAGATTAAGAAGCTTCTGTAAACTTCCATAGAAGTTAAGCTTAGAAAACTGTTTTCTTTTTTTAAAATCTTTCTCCAGTCTTTATTCTTACTGAAGGTTTTTTTCAGTAGCCCTCAAATGCCTTCAAGTCATTTTTCTATAAATGTTTATACTTGTGTATATATAAATGTTATACTCAGCTTTCTCTAAATCATGCTTCTATTCAGATTACACGTCCAGGGCACAGTAACACACTTTTTCAACCATTTCCATTTTCATTAGCTCTTTATTTTATTTAATGAATAATTTCAGTTCTGAATGAGCTGTCACTGGCTTATTTCAGTGAATCATAGAAATATAAACTTAATCCATGTCGTAAGTTCAACCAATGCTCAGTCTAAAGCTCCTTAATGTATCCCAAACTCCTCTTTTGTCTGTCTGAAAACTAAATCTCTTGCTCATTCCCACTCCATAACTATCAAGAAGAGTTATCTTGGGACTTCCGGCAAGATGGCGCATGAAGCAGACACACGTCTCAGAAACTCTGTAACAAAGATATGAGAGATAAAATAAAACAGATACAGATGAAAATTCGGGCACTTTGAACTCCAGAAGAAAGGTTAGAGAGGTGGATGGAGTGCTTGCTGTCAGGAGAGACCAACAGCAGGAATGGCAAAAGAGGGAGACTGACTGGTAAATGACTGGCCAGATGTGGCTCGACCATCTGTGAGCAGCTTTAGCAGCGGTGATAGGACTGCCATTCGTGTGTGGACAGAAAAGGTTCAATTTCTTTCTCTTCCCCACCCTCCTCCGGTGACCACCCTCAGCGAAGATCCTGCTCTCCCAGAGTTCAGAGCCCTGTGATTGGGAGCCACACCAGTGTGAGGTAGGGACTGACTGCGCTGCTTTGATTTACCACTTTGGTGCCTGGATTCAGGTGGGCTTGGTTCCAGATCTATAAACTCCGCAGAGCCACCAGACCAGCATTTAACCAATTACACTGCCCTCAGCTTTCCTGTGGTCATAACAGACACTAAAACCAGCTCTACCAAGGACCCTCATGAACTACTTATGGATTAAGTGTCTGGAAACCAGCTCCATCTAAGGTCCCCATGAGCTACTTCTTGATTGAATGTCCTGAACATTAAGTTTTGAGGCCAATAAGAACTCTATCTAGGGCCAGAAAGTCTGCTGTCACATCTCTTCTACAACCAACTCATGAGCTCCTTTCAGGAGCCCCCAGAGATTTCCCCTCTCCAGGTCTAACAACTGCGCTGTTTTACAAATACGACAACTTCACAATGCCCTGGAGACAACAGACAAATTTAGCTCCCATGAAAAAACGAGCAGATGACTGAGATGTAGAATCAGAAGATGTTTCTGAGAACGAAAAGGTAATAGAATTAACTGAAAAAGAATTCAAAAGAATGAAGATTAGGTACCTTCAAAGAATTGATAGAAAGATGAAGGAAAGCAAGGAGAATACAATGAAAACTTTAGAATAATTCTCAGGAAAACACTACAGAAACATACAGACAAAATAAATGCAAATTTTGAAACAATAGAAAACCTGTAGTTAGAAATCCAGAAGATTAATACTAAGTTCTCAGAAATGGACAGTATACCGAAAGGGCAAAGGAATAGATCTGAAGCAATGGAAGCCTGAAAGAGTGAGCTGGACGAGATATAGCCCAATATTACTTTGCTAGAAGAACAAACAGGAAAAAGAATGAAAAAAATCCAAAGAAAACCTAAGAGTTATGTGGGAAACCATGAAAAGGAACAACTTATGGGTGATCAGAATTCCAGAACAGGAAGAAACAAGCACGGAGAAGAGTGTCAAAGAGTTGTTAGGAGAAAACTTACCTATCAGCATGAAAGACGAAAAAATAAGCATACAAGAAACTGAACGAACGAACGCCAAACAGGATTTGTTGTTGTTAGGTGCCATTGAATTGGTACTGACTCATAGCGACATATTGTCAGGAGGAAATAGTCTCAGAAGAAGGATGTCATGCTGGGTAAGATGGAGGGTCAGAGAAAGAGAGGAAGACCCCCAACGAGATGGATCGGCCAGGTGGCATCATTGATGGCGTCAAGTGTGGCAGCGGTAGTGAGGTTGGCCCAGGATCGAACATTGTTTTATTCTGCTGTGCATGGGGTCGCTATGAGTCGGTTCCGACTAGATGGCACCTGACGGCACAACAACATTGCGACAGTATGCACAACAGAACGAAACTCTGCCTGGTCCTGGGCCAACCTCACAATCGCTGCTACATCTGAGCCCATCGCTGCCGTGACTGTGTCAATCCATCTTGTTGGGGGGTCTTCCTTTTTTCTCTGACCTTCCACTTTACCCTGATAATATGTCCGAAGTAAGAGAGATGAAGTTTGGCAATCCTGCCTTCCAAGAAGCAGTCTGGCTGTACTTCTTCCAACACAGATATGTTTGTTCTGTTAGCAGCTCATGGCACTTTTCATATTCTCCTCTAACACCATAACTCAATTGCATCAATTCATCTATGGTCTTCCTTATTCACTGTCCAACTTTCACATGCATATGAGGCTATTGAAAATACCATGGCTTGGGTCAGGTTCACCTTAGTCCTCAAGCTGACATCTTTGCTCTTCAGTACTTTTAAGAGGTCTTGTGCAACAGATTTGCTTAATGCAACACATCGCTTGATTTCTTGACTGCTGCTTCCGTGAGTGTTGATGGTTGATCCAAGTAAAATGAATTCTTTGACAACTTCAGTCTTTTCTCCATTGATATGAATGGATGTTGTTTATTGGTCCAGTGATGAGGACTTTTGTTTTCTTGAAGTTGAGGTGCAACCCATACCAAAGGCTCTGGCCTTTGATCTTCAACAGTATTTTAATTCCTCTTCGCTTTCAGCAAGCAAGGTTGTATCATCTGCATATCACAGGTTGTTAATGAGTCTTTCTCCAATCCAGATGCCACATTTTTTTCTTCATATAACCCAGCTTCTCGCAATATTTGCTCAGCATAAAGATTGAATAAGTATGTTGAAAGAAATACAACCCTGTTGCACACCTTTCCTAATTTTAAATCTCTCGATGTTTCCTTGTTCTGTTCAAACAACTGCCTCGTGGTCTATATACAGGTTCCTCATGAGCATAATTAAGTGTTCCGGAATACTCATACTTTGCAATGTTGCCCGTAGCTTATCATGATCCACACAAATGAAAGCCTTTGTATATTCAGTAAAGCAAAGGATATGATTTCAAAAGAAAATCACCAATACATACTATAATCAGACTTTTCAAAATCAAAGAGAAGGATAGAATCCTGAGAGCAGCTTGGGAAAAACAAAAAGTTACCTATAAAGGAGAACCAGTAAGAATAAACTCAGAGTCCTCAGCAGAAACCATGCAGGCAAGAAGGCAATGGAATGACTTACACAAAACTGAAAGAAAAGATTCTCAACCAATGTAATCAGCAAAACTGTCCTTCAAATATAACAGTGAAATTAGGACATTGCCTGATAAACAGAAATTAAAGGAATTCATAATGGCCAGACCAACTTTGTGAAAAATTCTAATGGGTATTCTTTGAACTGAAAACCAACAACATTCATGACACCAACACTCAGAACTCAATCCAGATGTTAAGTGCCTTTGATTCGCTTCTGACTCATAGCAACGCCATATAGAATTTCCAAAGAGCAACTGGTGAATTTGAACCACTGACCTTGCAGTTCAAACCCACCTTGCAGTTCAGTGTATTATCTCACAGCGCTATACCAGAGTCCAGATAGCAGAGTAAAGCAAACCTACAAGACCGAAAATAGGGGACTAGAGATTTCGATGTATAACAAAATCAACTACAAAGCAGAAAGAGGGGACAGTGTAGATACAGAACTTCCAAATGTCAAGGAAATCAAGTAGATTTCAAGATAAAATAGACTGTTTTAAACAGGGGGAAAAATAATGAATTACAGGGTAACCACAAAGAAAAGTATACACCTGTGCATCAAATTTAAAAGAGAAAAATCAGAAAGATTTAATGAAAATTAACAGAAATAAAAATGAAAGGAAACCCCACAAACAAAATGAACTCATCATAAAAAATTTTGTGAAACAAAGAATCCAGCAGCACCACAAAAAAACACACAGAAAAATGACAACAATCAATTCATATCTATTGATAATTATACTGAATGTAAATGGAGTAGGTATACCAATCAAGAGACATATAAAGAGCCGAATAGATTAGAAAACAGGATCCTTCAATATGCTGTCTACGAGAAACATATCAAAAAGATGGAGACAGCCTAAATGCCCATTGACAGAAGAATTTTAAACAAACTTTGGCACATACACACAGTGCAGTACTACAAAACATTGAAGAATAATGATGAATCTGTGAAACACCTCACAACATGGTTGTTGAACCTGGAGGACGTGGTGAGTGAAATTAATCACAAAAGTCCATTGTATGATACCAATATTGTAAAAAGTTTAAAAAATAAAGGTTTACTTGGTAAAAGAAACAATCTGTGATGGTTACACGGGCAGGGGAGGGAAAATTACTCATGAGCTAGAGGGTAGACACATGTTGACATTAGTGATAGGGCAGGCAATATACAAGAGGAAGATTGTCAGAGGAAGGATTGGGGTGGTGCGAGACATGGGGAGGAATGCAGTAGTTGAAGTTTATGGAGGTAAATTCTGTTGGCCATTGGTGCATGGAGGAGATTACAACCATATAGTGAAGTAAAGTGTATGGATTGTTGAATGTAAAACTGATGATCTGCTCTGTAAACCTTCACTCAATTCACAATTAAAAAGTAAAAAAAAGAGTTGCCTTTATTTGAGAATTGAATTTTTATTTAAGGAAACATTTTTTAATCACTTGGAAACTTGACAAGTAAAGATTATATAAAGCCCCCAAACTTACTGAGATGCACATGCTCGATTGGTCAACTAGACCCACTTGCTAACATTTGAACCCTTCAGGCCTGCTCACCACATAGGTGATTAAAGAAACTAAATTGCAAGTCTTGACATATTTTAAACCATCAGGTTCCTTGCCAGTAGACAAGTCAAGGATGTTAAATCCATGTATATCAAGGTTCTACTGTTTAATCTTAGAATTAATCACTTAACATTACATAATAATTTATTGCAATCTTTGTTATGACAAGGAAAAGTCAGTAATAATACAGGTGAAATTCCACTTTCATGTGTTAAATGGAACTACTAAATGATTGTGTAGCTTGATTAAAAATTTAAAGGCTAGCACTGTAATTTACACAGGGGGTATACTAATAATCATTAGCTGTCAGATGTGAAGTGTTCCAATTTTTTTTCTTTTGGCATCAGTTGTACAAGTTAGGTTGCTAGTAAAGCTCATAAAATCCCACTCTAACCACCATATCTGACATATATTTTTGTTACTTATTACTTTTAAAAAAATTATTGTTTTTATTATGAGAGTAAAACATAAACGTTATAGGAGTATCAGAAAATATACTTCATAGTCAAATGGTCTTGGGCAAGATAATTAAGTTCTGTGTGCTAGTTTTCTTACACTTGTGAAATGGAAATGATAGCATTATATATGTCATTGAGATATATTGCTGCTGTTGTTAGGTGTTGTCAAGTTGACTCTTGACTCATTATGCACAATTGCCGGGGCCTGTGCCATCTTTACAATTTGTTGTTACACTTCAGCCCATTGCCACTGCCACTATGCCAATCCAGCTTGTGTGTGTTGGGGGGCGGGGTCTTCCTCTTTTTCGCTGACCCTCCATTTACTAAGCATAATGTTTTTCTCCAGGAACTGGTCCTTCCTGATAATATGTTCGTAGTATGAGAGACAAAGTCTTGTCATCCTAGCTTTTAGGGAGCATTCTGGCCGTACTTCTTCCAGATTTGTTTGTTCTGGCAGTCCTTGGTACTTTAAATATTCTTCTCCAACACCATAATTCAAAAGCATCAATTCTACCTACAGTCTTCCTTATTCATCGTCCAACTTTCACATGCATACGAGGCTATTGAAAATACCATGGCTTGGGTCAGGTGCACCTTAATCCTCAAACTAATATCTTGCTCTTGAACACTTTAAAGAGGTCTAGTGCAGCAGACTTGCCTAACAATACAGGATTAAATGAGATGTTCTCTGTAAGAAGTTTAAGATAGGTCTGGCATGTAGTACATAGTTAGCCGTTGTTTTAATTTTACTGTTGTTTTTAGTAAATGGAATCAAGCTATACATTCCATGTGAAATTTTTATGGGAAAGCTCATTTTTACTTTTGTCCATCCCCCATGTATCCTCTTACCCCACTGATTGGAATGTCTTCACAGTGGCAAGGAAGAAAATCACCTGGTCTTGTGCTGGGAACTTAATAAAGTCCCCCTGAAGTGTTTTCTTTAATGTAATTTTTATCATGAATGGAATCATTTGTAGTATGTGAGAGTAAAATTATAGGTGTTGTTGAAAGGGTGGGAAAATGTAGCCTAAGAAATGCTGCCCTGTGTTTATATAGGTTCTTTCACTATTACATTTTATTTCCTTACTGTTGTTAACACATAATCCATGTTTCATAGGTGCACTCAGCTGTTGAAGAAATGGATGGATTAGATGACGTTGAAAACAGCATGTTGTACTACAATCAGGCAGTCATTCTGTATCATCTCCGGCAGTACACAGAAGCCATTTCAGTTGGCGAGAAACTTTACCAGTTCATAGAACCTTTTGGTATGTTATTTGTCAAGTCAGAGAGTTCCCTATCTTCTCATACCTTCAGGCTTCTTTGATTTAGATCATCTAAATCAAAAAATTTCACATCAATGTTTAAGCAATGAATAAAACTTATATTTTAACTTTTTATTGTAAACTGGATGAGGGTTGCATTTTCTTAATGGTTAGGAAAGTGTTTTCTTGTTGTTTTTTTAATTTTTAATTTGTAACTTAGATGAATCCAGGGTTTTTTTTTAAGCTCCTCCAAGTTTTCAAGGTAACTTGCTAGGAATATTGTTTCTGATTGGAAATACTTTGTTTTTTCTGTAGCTGTTTTTCTTTTCTGTTTACAGTTCTGTGTACCTGATCCTTTCTTACTTGAGTAATGGATTAAGGATGGAACATTCTGAAATGTTAAGGGACGGCTTAGTATTTCATTTATTAACTAGCTGAAATTTTTGTGAACAATCATAGATGAGGTTTGTGTTAGCTTTTAAAAAATCTTAACTAGCTTACTATTTCTAGCCTCCAGCAGGAGTAGTCAGAAAGGTAAGGGCAAAGGAAAAGAAAGAGAGCAAATAAATTATAGCAATTACTGGGAAGGCTGGTCAGGAAAATGATTGTTTAGAGTCATTTGTTTCTAGCCCACAAGTAGTCAGATTTCATTTGTGATTCACATTTTTGGTTTTTTTACAACTTATTTTTTATTCTAAGTTCCAAGAGAAAATTTCCCACCCATAATGTTAAATATGTAATATGCCTGAAGAACTGTTCATTCTTTTCAAATTAACACAAATGGTAATTCCAAGTGTATGAGTATCTGATTGCTGATGTGGTCATCACAAGACAGGGAATTTGATGGCTCCTCTTTGGAACTCTGGGTAGCATTCAGTGATTACTGAATTACTAACTCCCCTTTTGCTGGCCAGTAGTTGAGCAGAAGCATATTCTTGGTGTTTATCTTTTCCTCATTTCAGAGGGCTCTGTGGCAGGGCAGTCTGGGCAGGAGAGATGTCAGCTATAAGGGATTGTGTAACTAATTGCCAATTCCTTTCTTCTATATAACCAGAATTCAGAGTTACAGACCTCTAGGGTGGCACAGGTGTGTTTCGCTGTCAAACTATTACTGTTGATGGGGTTTTTTGTTGTTTTTTTTTTTTGGATTTTGGGTGGGGGTTCTAGTGTGGCACAATGGGTTAATGTGCTGGACTGCAAAGTTGGTTTGAACTGTAATGTTGGCGGTTTCAGGCTCACCAGCCGCTCCTCAGATACCCTATACAGGGCTACTATGGGTCGGAACCAACTCAGCAGCACTTAACAACACAACAACAATTGATGGTTTTTAGAGTTCCAGAACAGCTCGTAAAATTCTGTTAATCTGTAATGTGGAAGGAGCTTTAAATCATTGGTGGAAAAATTCAGTGAAAAAATAATGAAATTTTCCCACAAATTTTTTATAGCCATCTCATATAGCGAACTATCTCATCAATATTCAAACCCATCTGTCTTCTTCTTTGGAAATTGCTATTATTTTTTCACTTTATCATTTAGACACTTCATACAAAATATTTTTGAGCACCTCTTATGGGCCAGGCAGTTATAGAATCTGAAGATAAAAGCTGCGAACAAAACAGTCTTACCTTCATTAAGCTTATACCTTAATGAGTTACACACACTCATAATAACTACAAGGAACTTCAAAAATCTGTGGAAAAAATCTATTATCTCTTTAATTCCATTTCTCCACAAACTTTTTAATGTCGGGTAACTACTAAATGGGAGGATGGGAAGCTTCATACAGTAAGCACTAGACTATGAATCATAAGATCTGCGGTTCAAGCCCACCATCCACTCTGTGAGAGAAAGATGAGACTTTTTGCTCCCATAAAAATTTAAAGCCTCAGAAATCCTATATGGGGTCACTATGAGTTGGAACCCACTTGACAGCAGTTAACGACAACAGCAAGCTATGTAATGCTGTAAAATTAGGTAATAGAATGAGATTAACTAAGAATGTTATCTTTAGATTAAGTTAACAAGGAACACTTCTAATGAGACAGCCTTTAAGAAACCTAAAACCCATTGCCAGTGGAGTTGAGTCCAACTTGTGTACCTATAGGACTGTGTAGACCTGCTCACTGTTTCTGAGTCTGTAAATCTTTACAAAAGCAGGTAGCCTCTTTGTTCTCTTTTGTAGTGGCTGGTGAGTTTGAACTACTGACTTTGCAGTTAGCAGCACAATATACCTAACTTACAATGCCACCAGAGTTCCTTAATTTTGGAAAACTGAAAACACCTTAATAAAGGGGTGAATTGATGCATTTGAGCTATGGTGTTTGAGGAGACTATTAAAAGTTACATGGACTGCCAAGAGAATGATCTGTGTTGGAAGAAGTGCAGCCAGAATGCACCCTAGAAACCAGGATGGCCAGACTTCGTCTCTCATACTTTGGACATATTATCAGGAGAGACCAGTCCCTGGAGAAGGATATTATACTTGGTAAAGTAGAGGGTCAGCAAAAAAGAGGAAGACCCCCAACGAGATGGATTGGCACAGTGTCAGCAGCAATGGGCTCAAATGTGGCAACAATTGAGAGGTTGGTGCAGGACTGAGCAATGTTTCGGTCTGTTGTGCATAGGGTCGATGGCACCTAACAACAAATGGATAAACAGCCATGCTGCTCTTCAGGGGGAAAACTTTCCAGCCAGAGGGAATTTGGACTTGTAACAACAGAATAAAACACTGTCCAGTCCTGCTTGATCCTCACAGTCATTGTTAGCTTGAGCCCGTTGCTGCTGCCATTATTTCAGTCCATCTCTTTGGGGGTCTTCCTCTTTTTTTTTTTTTTTTAATGTTTTATTGTGAATTATGTGATAGTTTACATGGGAGAACATTGGTTTTACATTCATTCTATCGTATATCGTCTCATTGCCATG